CCCCCCCCCCCCCCCCCCTCCAAGCCAAATTCGTTTGAGGCTGGCTCGCTCCTGGCTATCATAACGTTTGCAGCAGAACAGGTTCTTAATGTTTGTGACGAGCATTTGAAGGTTTCATTGCATCAGATAATAAGCATGAGACTAGTTAAAGTAAAATAAATGTAGTTAGATTGTCAGATTGAGCTGACAATGTTTTTTATCTCTGCTGTTCATATTATGTTATCCCTATAGATGAAAACGACGATAACTACTGATTGTTCACATACCACAAAAAGGTGATTTCGACAATGTGGTCAGATACATTGGCTGCTCGTGTTTCTTACATTGTTCTGCTTGCATGCCCATCAGTGATATATCTCTGACACGAAATGTATTGAAACATTTCCCCTCCCTAAATTCCTTCCAGCTGGAGCATGGAAACGCCGGGAACAAACACTCTTGTTGAATTGATGCCGTAAAATATTCCACTGCTCTCATATGATGACATGTCGCTGCATGTAAGATTCCACTTTTCCAGATTGCTATATAGAAATTTTGGAGACACAATTAAAGAGGCAACCAAAAACATAAAATAATAGTATAGACAGTTTGAAATCAAACATACACTCCCTCTACTCGGTTACAGTAGCTCGGTTATAGATTATTACATGTGTATATTTCCGCAAGCTGGTTATATTAGAAGTACTGAAATTAACGGGAAACCAATCTTGTAACAAATCCTGTCGTCCATACATTTAACTATCATTGTCTGAACGATCACGTTTTACTTTAAATTCAATTCAATTCAATTCCGAGAATTGAAGAATAAAATTTTTGTTCTGAAGTTGTTCTTTTGTATGAACGTGCATAACTCTCGCGGTAGCACAGTTTATTCTGCGTAGTTTCCTTTTGAAAAACAGCTTCTCTAGATCTGTTGTAATATAAGGGATTTTCTGTATTTGGCGAGCATGTATCGAAATAGGTACAGAGTGGTGGAGTTACTGGGCAGGTTACTCTACCAGTCCTATATCCCCAGGTTTTGTAAACTAGGAAACATTATATTGTTGCAGTGGAATTTGTCAAAAAAAGGGATTTTGCTTTCCAGAGAGAAATTTTGTTTCAGGAAAAAGTTCTAGTCAAGGATGGGAAAATCGAAAAAGGAAAATATTTGAGTTAGTCAGTCTTCAATAATGTTTCCTGTAGTTCGCCGCATGTAGCTATATTCAAAAGAATACATTCATTTATTACATTTCAATAATCCCTCACACCCAGGCTGATAGTCTCCCCCATTAGGATAGAAATCAACATCACCCAGCTGACCGCGAAATCCTGCTCCACCAAAAAGGAATGGTGCGGAATTTGTGTGAATGACGTCAACAAAATTTGCATCAGTTTTGTCCAGGCGGGCCTCAGCATGGCTTCCTTCAAACTGTGGCCTGGCTGGGTCTAGACCTAGGTCAGGGAAATACATAATTTATCAGTTGAAAAAAATGAGTATTAATTCGAGCTAAAAATGTCATAATTTGTGAGTCAAATTATAGTCAGTTACATTATGTTATAGCCGCCAATTTAATAAAGTGTTTAATAATTAAAAACTTTATACTATAAACCATTGCACCATAATCAAGACTATGACTGTTCCTGGTGCCGATTTGACGAACACTGACATTTTTCTCTTGTTGCATGAATACAATTGTCTGACAATCAGTAAATTTTAGTTTGATGTCTGACATTGAGTACAGGGACAGAAGACAGACAGTGTGTTATTTATTTCCAATTTGCAGTTAACGTTTGAATATATAACAGATAAAACAATATCTGAATCCATACCTGTAATTCTTCCAAGCGTGACGTTTTTTCTTGCTAATCGTTTCCCAGTATACCCAGCTATATGAGCTCCCAGACTGTGGCCAATGATATGAACTGATTTAGTGGATACACCCGTGGCGTCATTCAGAATTTGAATTAGATATGCAATCTGTGCACCAACAAGGCGGGCATTTGCAACAGCCTGAAAATACAGAATGTTAATCGAGGGTGCAAAGTGAAACACACGGGCCAAAACATACTCTCTAAAAGGAGAAGAGGGATGAGCTTTATTTTGGTTTTGACTTGACAAGCTGCTGTGTTCAGCTCATATATTACTACATATTCAACTTCAACGTTTTTTCCACCAAATCAGGTTAAATATTTGCAGAAGCCAAATACCAAACAATGAATTTTATGCTATTTGCCGTTTTCGTAAATACCAAAATTCACCGCACTTTTCCAAATATTTTATTGCCTCAGTTGCATATATTAAGAAATAAATTGCTTCCAGTTTGTCTACAATACATATTTCCTCTTTTAGTAATGCAGGACCGTAGTCTAGGTCCGATTCCTCTTGTATCAAGTATTAACACTGGCCAGACAAGGGATAAACCTTACTTGTGATGTTCTTAGTTACAGAACTGCGTACAGTGAGTTTTCTTAATTTACTCTCAAGGTTTCTTAATTTACTCTCAATTAGAAATAATCTTTAGATTTTAGTAACGGTCTTAAACACTTACTTTTAAATACGACATGGTAAGATATGACGCTCCTTTTCTCCAATCCACACTGATCACATTATACCAATATCTCATTAACAATTCATTCTTCATCTTAATCACCCAGGGTTTCTGGGAATGATGAGCAAAGCCGTGGACAATCAAAATTGTTTTGCGAGATGGATCAAAATTAGACGTCGTGATTGAACTGATATTATTCAATTTCAATTCTTCAGCACTTTTGGGATTTCTTCTGGTATGAAGGAAGAATTTAGTTTGAATGACATTTGGATGGGACGGTAGTGCAGCATGTTTGACTTGGAAATATTTATTGATGGAAAAGCATCCATACTTCGAAAAACAAATTTTCTTTGCATCTGTGAAGAAATAATAAAAGTGGAAATATATTAAATGTTTATTTTTTATAAAGGAGATAAGATTCCTGTAAGGGAGAACTGACATGCATGGCTGGGTCATGGACAGCAAACAATCAGAAGTTGTATAGGAATCAGAAAGCCAGGAGGGAGTAAGAAGAAGAGTGGTCAGACGACTGGCAATAATATAGAATTGGGAAAAAGAAAAATGCACCTGGACTTAACAAAACATGCGATACACCTATCCAGAAAGTATGTCACCTTGGTTATAGAGCCTCGTTTTGATGATTGAGACGTTGTGTTATAAATAATGTCACATACACGAAAAGGTGGTGACAACAATTCCCGAGGGGAAAGGGCTTGGGAAATACGAAGCAACACTAATATTCACAGAAGAACACGAGAAGTTGCACTGGCATGGGTGACAGATAAAGCTCCACGGCATGTATAAAATATCTTTAAATAAAACAAACACGTAGATTATGTTTTTTGTCATTTATTTATTTATTACGTGCAAATACGTAATGGCAAATAAGTATTATTGTTTTTAAAATTACAGTTCTACTGTCCTTTAAAGGTCTTCTGTTTTGGTTGTTTTCCGTTTTTCTGCGTTCTTAAAAAAATGTTAAAGTTTGTCGCCATTTCCTCTTGTCGCTTTTGCAGTTTCATTTGCAGCTCCTTTATCCTGTAAAAGTATACATATTTTACTCCATCTTAACAATGAACTTGGTCGATTTAGTAGTATCTCTCCATCGCCCTCTTCTTACCGATCCATAGGAAGAGATGTAGCTCTTGGTGAAAGTTGCTTTGCATCACATGCATGGCTATCTTATCATGTCCATGAGTTAAAGTGTTAACATCATTTTTAAGATAAATAGGCAGACCTTATAATTCTCTGCCTAATTTGTTTCTTAGTGACTGATTTTGTTATCCCTTAGGTCTCAACCAACAAATTCTTGAATTGACGTGTGTCTCATCTAGTCGAAGGACTTTCCTTCCTGCTTGCTATACTTTGTAAAGAATGGTCTCGTGCGTATCCTGATGTCTTAAACAGTTCTCCATCTTCCAGCATATCTTGATAAATGTCATGCGTCTTCACTTCATAGCAGAGACATAGAGAGACTGTATCGGTAAAAAAGAAGCTTGGCACTGATTCACTCCATATTTTTGTTTCATGATACTGGTACATTAACATCTTTGAGAGATATAAAATCGAAAATCCCACAAACTCCCACATAAATTGGACGATTTAACTGGACAAATTGGACAATTGGACGTATTCACAGCAGCTAAATGCTCAGGGAAAATATAGAAGGAGTCAATGATGGATGTGCAGTTAATTTTGATAGTTTCGATCATTGACCTGGATTCGCTTTCCGCATTTTCTCTAAGAATCTAGCTGGTATGGTATGGTTTGGTTTGGCATGATATGGTATATGGTTTGGTATGGTATATGGTTTGGTATGGTATGGTATGTAATATATGAACAACGAGAGAGAGTGTTTCACCGGGATATCCAAACACGAGAAAACAGTGTGTGAAAACATAATGTTTTCGTTTGCTGATTTGAATAGAATTCTTAACTCCAAGCATAACATAATTAGGAATTCTATTCAAGTAATTTTGCATGCGTAATTAATGGCATCTTGTGATCAAATAGGTGATTATCATTGGCTGAATTGCTCATGAATTATTAATGAATTTGAGAAGGTATGGTATGGTATGGTATGGTATGGTATGGTATGGTATGGTATGGTATGGTAAGAAGCTTTTGATAGTAAGAGCTGAACTGCGCCGGTTGTGGATTTCGGTGGTTAGTCCTGGTTATTTTGCACTTGCCCTCTACTGATTACCGCAATACGCGCATCTCGCCTAAAATCGCAATGTTTTCGCCGTGATGAATTTGTCATCGCCGTAACAATTGGCCTCTTGCCGTGAATTTTAATTTGACGTGAGTTTATTTTATTTTGCTTTGGCCATTTCGTTTGCCGTGACAGTTGTTGGCCAGTGTAGGCGGCCACCTCGTTTTTTTGATATTTTTTTATAGGATAGATAAGATAAGATGATAAGACTTAAAGCCCTAAGGCTAGTTTACAGGATGTAGCAAGTAACTCATGATAAAATGAGTATATAAATTACCTAGAAAATTTGAAAATTTACATCAAATTAAATTATTTAATCTTTCACTATTTATATTTGCGCCACAAACTGTTGGCTGACGCCTTATTTTTCAACGAAGATTTTTGAAATTTTACTCCTCAACTGAAATCATTATCATGATTAAAACAGGAAATGTTTTATTAGTCTGTAAATTGGATAACTATATACACGTAATTAATGAATGTAATCAGGTACGTATTGATTATTGCACGCAGTGAATCAGAGGCGTAGCCAGGATTTTTGGTCAGGGGGGCCAGCAAAATCCCAGGTGGGGCCAAAAATTTTTTCCGGACCACAACATTTTAAATCTCTCTGACCACCCCCCCGACACCTTTTTTGGTAAAAAGTTTTCCGAACATCATCACTATTGCTTTGTAGCACTTTTCCCGATTTCCGTATCACTTTTTCCGATGCTTCACCACAAAGATTCCGACAATAGTGACAATTTTCCGACGGGTCTCAACTTGAAGCTATATAATCAATGATTCCCTTTTTTATTGCTGCGTACCGAGCGAGCCTGAAGCGAGCGAGCGAAGCAGCATTCTAATATGTGCAGAGAGGGGGTTTTGAAGTAAATGGTCGTGTGCGCTTGCTATGCGCAAAACACAAAATAACGTATGACATACAATATTTGAGGCGTATTTGAAGGATATCGTTTATTAGTATTTTTGCGGAAGTGAACATAACAAATCCTACAAGGTGATTAGTCAAATTTGGCGTATTAATCTGTTATATTCACCTACAGGTGAATATAACAAAATCGAAATTTTCAAGATGGCTGCTAGCCGTTTTGCTGAAGTTAGTGATAAAGAAATACGCGAAATTAAAATGAATTCAGACAAGAAAAACACAAAAAAATTTGTGCAAAAATACTAAAACAATTATTTGTCTCAGGCACGGTGATTATCGGGGAATAATATTCACCCCGAATAATTGTTAATTGTTTTGCTTGCTTTGATTTGTAAATGTTTTAACTCAGGCACTCAGCGTAAGGTTTAGTAAAGTTTTAAGCCCTGTAAAGGCCATAATTTAGTGTATAAAATAACATGACTGCACTTCGTCCGTTGTTCACTCAGTGGACTTTGACCACTGTAAGTTCAATATTTTAATTTATTATAAACTTTTCGTTTCTTAGTTTAATACTGTGTATAGAATGTGGTAAATGTGCCATTAGACTTAATAATATGAAATCAGATAGCAAAAACTTGTGTTATATAATTCACCTGTACGTCTTAAGAATGCTTTGTCGTTTGTATTTATACGCGTCGCAGCGCGTATTAAATTCAACAAATTCCACTTGATCTTGAAAATGGTATATATTCTTGCTTGTGATTTAGTGAATATTACTTCTATAAACATTAACATCAACATTAAGGCGCCTATCTGTAATTTGTGATTGCTCTTGAACCCGTGCATGGTGTTGGCAACAAATGCATTGCTTTTTCTCAGACACTCATGGCATGAATCGATTCCGTATTTCTTAATTTAAGGAATCCCGCAGCAATCCCTACCTTGCAGGTACCCTTGCTAGTAGAATACATTTTATCAGAGGGGCCCAAAATTTTGCCAGGGGGGGGGGGCGGCCCCCCCGGCCCCAGCCCTGGCTACGCCTCTGACGGTGTGGAGTGTGTCCAGGGGCTCTATATAGCCAATGTGACGCACTTTCCGGAAGCTTGTATTATAACTGCATGTAAATATTCTTATCCAGTATTTGCCATTGTACTGATTAGTTAATGAAAAGTTGTGGGAAATAACTAATAAATCATATTGCATTGTGTCATTAATACATCGATCACCTTGTATGGTTAAGGTTTAAACAGAGTGTTCTAGAATGAAACTATGTAGTTTACTTTTTATTTAGACTATTATATTCATAACAATTAAGCATGTAAATTAAATTACTTTTTAAAAAGTGTTATATATGTACAAATTGAGGTCCTCTCAAGCATGATTCCACTCTTAGAACATCCAGTCAAGCTTGATAACTCTTAGAATATATTAAGTAGTATTATAAAATAACATGTATATAACGCGTATTCTGATTGGTCGAAAGCCGTGTTTGGATCAGGCCATCCAAACACGGAAGACGGTAGTTGTTATTTTATAAAACAATTACTTTATGGTTTCCGTGTTTGGATGGACTGATCCAAACACTTGGGAATGTTGCTCGAGTTAAGACATTCCCGCGTGTTTGGATCAGGCCATCCAAACACGGAAACCATAAAGTAATTGTATATTATTTTTATCTTTCAACTATAGTTTTGGCTGTTACGACTAAACCAATATATATAGTGCTTATATAGTATCTATCTAATGCAACAAGTCGCTATCTAGGAATCTCGTTATCTACAGTGGCGTAACGGAGGAAAAGTGGACGGTTCGGCATATTCGGCATATATGGGGTGACGACAACGACAACGACAACAAACCAATGACCAATGACCAATGACCAATTTATAATTTTCAAATAACAATCTCCAACACATGTAACAGCTAATAAGGATAACTTTTGTTTTATTTTTGAGATGAAATAAAAAGTCAGATACAGTCGTATATTGTCGATGGAGGATTTATTATTTAGCATTATTAATTTTGCATTTTCTCATCTAATTGATTCTTAACCTGCATTTTTTACGTTTGTAACTTTCTGAGCGATAGATATAGGCCGTGGCTGATGGGGGACCCCTAACTGTCGGGGACCCTTAGTTTTTTAACTAACCCCACCCAATGAGAGTTACGCCACTGGTTATCTAGTGTGCATGATGAATTAACTTCTTTTTCTCTTCTAACAACACAATTGTTCAGTGTATGTTTGAGAAGAAAACGTGTTCCCCCGATTTCTAAAATCCTGCAGGGCGTATTTTCAACTCAGTTTTTTTCATCGACTTCTGGTTGTTTTTCCATTTTTGCCAATTAATTCCTTCCCCGAACTTGTCCCTGCCTTAAGATAGCGACCATTGAGGTTGGAGATGTGAGAGTTGTTATACCACCAAGCACCTTGCCAAGACATAGCGCAGTTTTCGCCGCCACCTTGATCATTATCTCTGTCGTAGGTAGTGAACTTCATTCCGTTGTGATATGTCAACGCATCACCAGCATTACCTTAGATATAAAATTTCCTTAAAATATTTGAAAGTTTGGGATTTTAGAATATGTGATACCCTCTCCTAAATGTTTAAAATATCTATATTATGATAACAACAAGTTTTAAATTAAACGTTTGCCATTTCTCTGTGTTGTCCAATTTTCAATGAGTAGCCTTTTTGAACATATTTTAATGTTTTAATTAAAGAGTGTCCGTGATTTGGGTTTACGACGTTAATAATTTCATAGATTATTAAAACACCGCAATGCATGCGTATACTAGTATCACATCTTAAATACAAAACGTATAGTCACTGAGAAATTGTGAATATGGCGCACGTTTTACTCTGCCAACATTTTAACTTTATGTGAGTACGTTTTAGACAACATGCCTTGTGTCCGAAATTGCGTTTCTAAGTGGAGTAAAAGTTTCCTCTTGTAACTTGATCTTAAGGCATATAAGCCACTCCCCATCCCTAGCTTCGTCACTACTTATACTGTATTTTATAACAATTTATGAAATCATATTTACCTGAAAAACGTCCTAGGTTTAGTCTATAACCATCAGACTCAGACGCCACAGAAAATGATCCATACTTTGCGTACGCTGAGTCGTTAGTCCAATCCGTCAAGTCCACTCTTAGAACATTTTGTTCTGATTTTGTCAAACGATGTATTTCATCCAATCCAAGCCATAAATTACCGTTAAGATTACCGAAACCATTTTTGTAATCTTGCCATCTACGATAGAAATTTACACTTGCGTCTTGTCTTCTTTGGAACACTGTCAATCTGTTTGCATATCACATCTGACTTGGAAAGATCCAAGGCCGTCAGGGTTGATAGTGTAAACACCATCATATCTCGTCCCAGATTTGTATAAACTTGAACAACTTGCCACGGGTTTCGATGTTGTCGATATAGATTTGCTAGTTGAGGTGGGTAATTGAA